AGATAGCATCGCGTTTCTGCTCGGCACCGCACTAAGTAACACCATTGTGATACAACCAGGAAGAGCTGGGAACTTGTGGGAAGTGACAAAGAAGTCAAGGAAGAAGTAAAGAAGACTGAAGAAGAGCATCACTAATCATCAAGGAGACCAAAATGAGGTCACCTACGAGCCAGATGGCTTCTGATGTGAAGATTTGTAGGCAGGTAGGCTGGAATTGGATAGACCTTTTTTGTGTGTTTTTGGTAACTTTTTAGCCTATCCCGCATTTTTCTACCACGATTGCGGCAAAGTGGTAGGTGCTATACCCCTAAACCTATACATTTCTGAGCTCTGTGATGCATCAGCTAGTTCGTGAATGTCTTCGTTTAGCCATTTATCATTGCTTGTTCTCACATTGGTTGTGGACCCGATCATGACTTTTTTTGCGGATGCGCGCGTCAAAACGCTTTGTTGTGACATGGTGATCTAAAGGACTTTGCAACTGTTTCTTGATATTCAATACCTAGAAATATATGTTAGGAACGCTGTAGCAATTGGTTATTTTCTACTTGATGGATGCATATTTCAATTTTGCGGTTAAAGGGGAAGTATACCCTAAAATCAAATTTTCACCAGTTGTAGTCTTCTGGGTGCTGAGTCGAATGGTCTTGGTCCGAGGAAGCTGCGACGCTCCCTTCCTACTTGAATCCCAATCGAACTCGCGCACTTCCACCGAAACTGGGTGACTGCGCCCTACTAGATGGGGATTTGTATGCAAAATGTCACTAAAAGCGCCATTTCGTTCTTATAAAAGCACGGATGACCACAATTGGCCCATATGTTGTAGTCTTTTGGACGCTGAGTCGACTGGTTTTGGTCCGAAAAGGCTGCGATGCAGCGTTCCTCCTTTATTCCCAATCGAACATGGTTGAACAAGCGGTCACGTGCTCCTGGGTGCCCAAATCACCTGGTCACCGCGCCAGCAGGCGACAACTTTCACACCAAGGTTCAACTCGAGTTCAACTCGAGTGACAGGACTGCACCCAAAAAAGGTCAAACAGGCTAGTAAGTTGTACCCTGCAGGCACGGTGGCCAGGTGACTGGTGTACGCAGGAGCACGTGACCGCTTGTTCAACCATGTTCGATTGGGAATAAAGGAGGAACGCTGCATCGCAGCCTTTTCGGACCAAAACCAGTCGACTCAGCGTCCAAAAGACTACAACATATGGGCCAATCGCGGTCATCCGTGCTTTTATAAGAACGAAATGGCGCTTTTAGTGACATTTTGCATACAAATCCCCATCTAGTAGGGCGCAGTCACCCAGTTTCGGTGGAAGTGCGCGAGTTCGATTGGGATTCAAGTAGGAAGGGAGCGTCTCAGCTTCCTCGGACCAAGACCATTCGACTCAGCACCCAGAAGACTACAACTGGTGAAAATTTGATTTTAGGGTATACTTCCCCTTTAAGAGGTGCGGGTGCGGCCAATTATCGCGATTCGGCAATAACAATGGACATGAGCGGAGTCTGTCCTCTATTTGTGCTGCTCCTTGTCCTTTGGTACATAATGAATGTCTCCAGAAAATTTGACCTGATTCCAAAGAGAATTGGCTGAGATGTTTGTATTTTACGGTGGACTATCCGCGAAGGTAGATCGCCACCTTAAATAATAAAGTGATTAGTTGGCAAGTTCTTGCATGCTGGGAACGGAGCTACTAGTTACTACGTATAGAATCAAGCATGGAAGGAAGGGCTTGGTGGAAAATTCATGCCCGCGTGTGTACGCTCGAGGGCTTGCCCGAGAGCGTACACACAAGGGCATGGAGTGCCCGAGTGCGTATGCCCGAGGGCTTGCCCGAGGGCTACGCACGAGGGTACGCATTTTCCATCAAGACCTTCCTACCATGCTTGATTGTGTTTCAAACATACCGCATACATCAACAAGCAAACACCAATCACCGATCAGCACGTCCTGATAACGTCCGGAGCTGAAAATGAGCACGGGGGCATGAAGGTATAAAAGCGAGACTCCTCTAGGGGTGGTGGTCGGGGACGTGGAGGACTCAGCTTGTTAGTTTCAGCTCCGTACGCTCGAGGGCTTGCCCGAGAGCGTACGGAGCTGAAACTTCACCTTGCTCGACATGAAACGAACGGTTACTTCAGAACGAAACTTCACCTTGCTCGAGATGAAACGGAGCTGGAACTTCAGCTTGTGAGTTGGAGCTCCCAAGCCCTTGAGCGTACGGAGCTCAGAACGAAACTTCAGCTTGTGACTGTGAGTTTGCCCGAGAGCATACGGAGCTGATACTTCGTGAGCTGAAACTTCAGAACGAAACTTCAGCCGTGCGCTCGAGGGCTTGCCCGAGAGCGCACGGAGCTGGAACAGCTGGAATCCGAACATGGAAAACTGACCCCGGTGATTGCCACTTTACTTATTTTGGCTTGCTAGGTTCAGAGCAGATAGATAGGTGCATGCTCTTTTATTTCGCTTACCAGAGCAAGTAACGTCAGTTCACAGTCGAATGTACATGCGAACTGAGCTGACAACGAAAAACTGCCAGTGCCACAGACCCTTGGCCTTGCCAAGCTACGCTGATAGATGGCACCATAGCCTGGCATTTGCATAGCAATTAGCATGCATGCAGGGCATTGGATGTCACCGTACTCCGTAGCATGCTAGCAGGGCATTGCCATGCCGTAGTCCAGGCAATACACACAATTTCTGCCCTGGTACAAGTCGATGCTGATTGGCCGTCGGATGGCAACAAGCACGTGATATGTTTGAATTACTAGTACTAGTACTAGTAGTAGTAGTACAAATGTACATAGTCATTCGGATCACCTGATCACTAGATCCAGGCTCACTCTTCAGCCTCAGCGGCTCAGGGGTCAGCGCGGAGGCAGAAATAGACATGTCAGACTGGTTTTTTTTAGTGTTTGTACCATCGTGTACAGCCAGAAACGGACGTGTGTAGACCAGGTGTACACAACGTCACAAGTCATGTAGATCACATAGCGGAAGCAAGCTGCAAGGGAAGCGCACCGCGAGTGTAGCACTAGTGCACTGGCATGGCAGCTACAAATAAAACGGACACATGGCACAAAAGGGCGATCGTGGGCACACCGCGACCTGAATAACCTAATACGTAATGACTGATAGAATGCTACACCTGTGAAGTAAAAGAAAAAAAGGCCCAACCCTGCCCTGCCTGCTATTTGGGCTTACGGGGGTCGCCATGGCAAATAATAATATTAAAGAACTATTTAAAAGACTATAAAATTAATGACGGGAAGTGCCAGCTTCGGCAGCAACTAGGGAGGCAGAAGAAGAGACAGGTGCATGTGTGAGCGGACAAGGTAGAAATGGAACGTTAACTGCAGTCTGGCAAAAACTGTTTTTTTGCATGAAGGTCACCTACAACTATCTGTTTTTCAGATCCCAAAGTTTCAGGCTGATACTATGGTGGGAAGTGCCTTACATTCACCATTTTCTAGATGCCGGTCAGTATTTTAACGTCTATTTCGGGATGATTTAAACAGTCCACCCTTCAGTACAACCTAAACACTGAAAAAAACCCAATATCTTGGCCTGTATTTCTCCACAAGTGTATATCAGTGTGAAAGATGAGCTGATCCGGCACACACATGGACTCGTTTGAGGTGGAACCAAGCAACAAAACCACATAACTAGAAACAGCCGGAGCCGAAAAATCAGCTCCAGAGTAACTCGTGATGCAAGGCAAAATAATAGGACTGTTGAAGCTGGTACTCAATCCAAACATCAAATACCACTACACACATGTCAAAAATAGAAGAATTTGGCGGACAAATGGTAATTCCAGTGCGTTCTTGCTTCAGCCATGTGTGCACGCTCTCATCGTATACTGTTGGCGAACTCGGACTCTGCTCTGATGCATTGAGGCTCCCGACGACTGAGCGGCGCACCTTGGTAATATAGTTTGTAACATTTTGGCAGGAGACAGACAGCTCTTGAACACACAGCATCTAAATAATATTCCGGAGACGCACCACCAATACGGTGCCCATTGGCGAAGCAGGACGAGTCCACAGACTTGAGAAACTGTACTTAACGTAACGTTACACATCAGTCCGCAATCCGAGGCCCGATTTGACTTCTTTCCACTCAGCTCATGTTCACCAGCCTTGACCATTCTGTGTATCTCAATTCTTAAAACACTGATTTCCAGACAGTGCACGTTGCAGGTCTGCCACTTGCATCCAATGTATTGGGCAACAGCTAGCTAGTTGTTCTGGGCTATTAAGTCCCTGTATACCAGGTATACGTTCCTCTGTGGTGCACGACGCTATTGTTTCTTCAGCTCCTGCCCTGTGTGCTTCAGAGCTCTGAAGTCGGTTCGGCGTATACATTCAGTACAACTCAGCATCCACAGGAACGTTCCCCTTCATTGGTGTTATCATCATCACTGCTGTCACCACGTTCGCCTGCATCCGAAAGATCCATCTCATTTGTTCCCTATGTCTTTTTGTACCGCGCTGAAGCCAGCAGCAAACAAAACGCTGATCGGCACGTCGTTTTCGGCGTAGTGGAAGACGCTCTCGACTACTACCTGACTCAGAAACGCTCTCAGAATCAGAGAAGCTCTCAGCACCTGACAGCAGGCTATCAGCTGATCGCCGTCACCTCCAAATTCGCCCGTCAATACGCCACCCGTCGCACAACTAGCTGCCATATCTTCCTTCAGCCATAACGGATTCACTTCAAATTTTGAGTGCTGGACCTTGAAGCCCTGTGCTGAGCGAGGCACAAGCGCTTGATGCAAATAGAGCCCTCTAACCCAGGTAAAAAATATGCCACAGTTTGCCAAACTTCAAACGCCTGTATCTCAAAATGATGTCATGCAGCTAACGTTCCATTTCTACCTTGTCCGCTCACATGTACAGCGAAAACAGAGCGGCTACCACGCAGGCACTTGACACATACGTGGTCGTTTCGACTTGAGTGCTTTTCGTGACGATTCTCGAATTTCACTCGACTTGCTGATGTTCGTGACAACGACTGACTCAGTGACTGTAGTGTGTAGTACTATGTTGTAGTAGTAGCATTTCCTACTCAACACCAGTAGCTACGTAGATCTACGAACAGCTTCTGAGTTAGGAGTTATGTTCTAGCGGAGCAGTGGCTGCGCTCCCTACTTTACTTCTGTGTGCGCATTGTTTGTATAGTACACTCCACCATGACAAGATAGTCCATCGTAGCTGCTCATAATTATTATCAGCAAGGCAAACATAATAATCTATTGCACTGAGTCGTTTGGAACCCACCATTCTTGTACCGGCCTGTCACAAAGGATGGCAACAACCAGTGTTCAGCCTGATGGGGACGGCAGGTGAACAACTACCTACAAGCCTTGCAGCAGTTCGAATGGGAAGTAAGTACTAATACGAAAGCTCGTTAGTAGCAGTTTGTAAAAAATTGTTTACCAGAAGTAGTTCTGAGGCGCACACGTCCTTGCACGTGCTCCACCGCGTACCGGGAAACAAGTAAAAAAAAAGGGCTAGAACGCCGTAGCTAGCTACTAGTCTGAGTACTACTAGTAGTAGTAGCTGGCGTCGTTTTGAAGGGTTTGCGTCGACCTCAGCACTTCAGCGCACGCATATGCAACCTGATGTAATTAATATTTTGCTGCTACTCAACATAACAAACTCACATGTAACGAACTGCGTAAGAGCGAATCGTTTCCCATGTCCCAGTTGAACCCATACAAATTTGATCGCCTGTAGCGCTCTATTTTCGTTCGCTACACATCTTGCGGACGTGCAAACTTTAATTCTTCACATCTTGCAGGGGAGTATGTATGCAAAGTGCACTCATGAATGCCAGACAAGAAGTGCTGCTTGCATGTTGCGAGTGTGTGTCTATACTCTATTGCCAAGAACGTCAGCTATAACCCTCCCTCGCTTTGGTACTAGTTATCAGGAGCGTACTGGTATCTTGACGTTCTGCCTGGTCAGAAGAAACTAATGTGAGAACTAATGTGAGAAGCTGCCCTTGATTTCACGACATACTGTATAGCAGGAAATTTTCGGACGGAATTTATTTTTCGTACGATTTCGTACACGGCCTCTTTTGTACTAAAATTAATTCCGTACTAAAATTTGTTCATGTGAAATTATGTACACTGTACATGGGTACTGCTTGCGAACACGTGCGTTCAGCATGCAGCACTGTACGAAAATAAAATCCGTACGAAAGGTCGAAATTCGGCTTTGTCCGAAAATTTCCTGCTATACAATACTGTAAAAGCAGAAATTTTCGGTGGTGTTTTATTTTCGGTAACTTCGGTGCTGACAATTTTTACAGAAAATAAAACTCACCGAAAATTTCGGTACTACCAGTGCTGTATACATATACGTGCATGTAGTACACTTACCTGGAAAACGGGTTTACCGAAAATTTCCCTCTACCGAACCGCCGATTTTTTGGAGAATACCGAAAATATTACACCACCGAAAATTTGTGCTTTTACAGTAATTTTATAAAGTAACAGGCACAGTAGGCAGGGATAGTGGGATGGTCTAAGACCGTGATTGAGAAACAGAGGGTACCAGGTTCAAGTCCTGCTTGGAAGCGGAAGGAATTTTTCGAGCCGTGCTGCGACCCACAGTTCATTGGGAACTCGTGGCCTGGCACGAGGGTAGCATGGATGCAGCTAATGGGATTTCGGTCTTTGACCACTTGGTGGTGGGTCTGATCTACTCACCACCCACCGTTTAGGCGCTGCATCTGCGCCTTGATCCTAGAGGGTGGTGGCGTTCCCACGGCGGATGGGGAAAACTCGACTTCCAGCCGACCCTCACGCGAACCGTGACATTTATTATTTATATTTATAAAGTAACACGTTAGTTGAAAATATGACATGTCACCACTATGGAAATAGAAGAAATCACATGGAAACGAGTTATGAAGCAACTATCCACGACTGTAACAAGATAATCAGCAGTCAGAAAGTGCGATAACAGGGCACAAAACTGACATGTTACTGAGACATTCGACAACCTGAGACCCCCTGTTGGTTTGCGCATTGGACCCTGGAGGTGTGTGAAAGCTAGGTCTCAGGTCGTTGAATGTCTCAGTAACATGTCAGTTTTGTGCCCTGTCATCGCACTTTCTGACTGCTTATTATCTTGTTACAGTCATGGATAGTTGCTTCGTAACTCGTTTCCATGTGATTTCTTCTATTTAATCATGTTTATTGGCTCTGTATCCGAGTCAGCACTATTACTGAGAATAAAGTTTTTAATTCCCTACTGAGATTACTCACAGAAATTTCTATTAAAGCCTAAAAGAACTTAGATTCAAGTTTTAAAAACCCTACTGATGAAACGTTTGAATTTTTCATCGAAAGCTCTTCACCAATAGCGGAGTTGGGAGTCTGCATACAGTAGTCGGAATGCACAGAAGTGGGTTTTCCCCGTGGTTAAGGGTTCTTATGAATGCACAGCAAAAGCAAGCGCAGTGCTTTGGCGTGGGAGAGTGGTGGACAGACCATCGTACGGATAGTGTGATTGATGCTTCTTTGGATTGAAATAGTTAGCTCCTGCCTAAGAAGGCCCGTTATCATAACAAACATTAATGTACGGCAGCTTTCAGTGCACCAATCGTGGATTTCCAGAATATCTTGGTTTTTTTGTTGTTGTCAAAAACGAGGTGGTTTACAAAAGATGTGAAATTCGCGAATCTTCGCACGGCCGTGGTATCGCGATTTTCCATGTCACTTGCGCAGTGGTTTGCATGGTACAGGGTTCAAAGGTCGTACAGACAGTGTTTTTTTGGTGTAAAAGGCAAAGTAGAACGCCATGGCATAGAATAGTCGAACTTGTCTTCTTGCCCACATTCATACAGACATGTGCGCGTACACCTACCAGATGCCAGCGAATTAAAAAGTTTCTCGGGGCAGACCAGAATGGTATGGACGTGCAGTCCGCAACACTCCACCTACATCATGCATGATTATTATTATTATTATTATTAGACACAATCTCATAGCATGTGACAAGCATATCTAATGCAGGGACAGAATCTCCTGAGACAAGGGCGTTGAGCAAGCCACGGCAATAGTAAGCTAGGAAAACAAAAGCAAATATTAATTAAAGCAAAAATGAGTGGAAAATTACAAAGAAAAAGGATTAACAGAAGTGAGCACAATCAAAATTCGTGCATCACCCAGGTATTCGAGAATGTTCTTCGATAATACCGTATTATCTCTAATATAAGCACGGTTCTTTATTTTTTCAATGTACCTCCGCCCCGTGCTATTATTGGAGACGTTCCTTTATTGGAGACTGTTCCATTATTATTTCAACCTCATTTCAGAGGCTTGTTGCCATGCCAAATTCATGTCAGACACACACATTTCAGGGTTTTTTTCGCCGGTACAGATAATGAATTTACACCGTGTGCTTATAATGGAGACTGAGCACTTTATTTTTTGAATGCCGCCCCAAGGTGTTCTATTATTGGAGACGTGCTATTATTGGAGACTGTGCTTATATTAGAGATAATACGGTAATCATTGCGTCTAGTTCAGTTGTGATAGTAGATCTTTAATTAAACTGACCAATAGAAGAACAAGTTTTCAGACCGTATGGTAATGATAATCAATGAGAGTAACCGGAAAACAAGGGGGATTTTAGATACCGGGCTGACTTAACAAGAGGCAGGATGAGCGCGTTACGGGTTGAGCTTGTCGAAAACCAATTGTACTTCATCATGTGTGAAGGGGTTTTATGAAGAAATATTTTATGAACCAGTGTACAGAGATGGTGTTTATGACGAAAGGAGAGAGGAGAAGTGTGTGCAAGTCGATAAAGGGCATCCGAAGGAAAACATCGATCCTTGTTGTAAAGAATTTTAACTATAAATCTATGGTGGACTTCTAATTGGTTCAGAGTTGCGTCAGAAAGGCCACACCAAGCGGTATCGCAATAGTCGAATATAGGGAGAATATAGCACTGATAAAATAATAGTTTACACTGGATGGGCAAATGAGTGCAATGTGGTTGGAGTACCCCTAATGCTGAACTGGTTTGCTTGCATACACAGTTAACATGTGCGGCCCAAGAGAGGTTGCAGTCAAACATCACACCGAGATGTTTGTGCTGAGTAACAACACGGATAGGCATAAACGAGTCAGGGAAGTATAATGGTTGATCAGGAGGGGATGAAGAAATATACATGGCTTCTGTCTTGTCAAAATTGGGCTGGAGTTTCCACGTGTGCATCCACATGACAGTGTTGTTGATGCGATGCTGCATGGTAAGGAGTAATTGTGCAGGGGAGGAATCAGAACAGACAAGGCCAGTGTCATCCGCATATAAAACTAACATCGGGGACAACTGAAGGTAGGTCATTAACGTAAAGCAAGAATAACAAAGGACCCAGAATGGAACCTTGGGGCACTCCAGACGTTACAGGGAGGAGATCAGACAAGAAATAGGACAAGCGAACAGCCTGAGAACGAGCAGACAGATACGATGATATCCAACGCAGGCAGCATCCTCCACCCTGAAGGTGACCTCCAACTTGGCAAGTAAGCAGGCGCGTGCCCCGTATGGGTTTCTGGGTGCCCGGAACCCCCCTTTTCGCTCAAAATGCAGGATTTTGCTTCATTTTTTGAAAAAATTCCCTGGGGAGCCCCCCCCTTGAAGGGCACCGGCGCACGCGCCTGGTAAGCCACGATGCCATACGGTGTTGAATGCCTTAGCCAAGTTGAAAAACACCATTCTCACGTGCTCCCCACAGTTCCTCTTTGTCGCTATGTCTTGGACATGTCGAGTCACCTGGTATTGAGTTGAGTCACCACGACAGAATCCCGATTGAGCTGGTGAGAGAGCCGGAGCGATGTGCAGGTAGAGGGAATCGAATCCAATACGTTCACAAAGTTTGGAAACTGTGCGCAGCAGAGAGATGGGGCGGTAGTTTGCCGGGCAAGCACGGGAGCCTTTATTCTTGTAAAGCGGTGTCACGATGGCGGATTTCCAATCCTGAGGGAATGTACAAGTCCGAAATGACATATTGAAAATAATGGCAAGAGGATAGGCTATTGATGGTGCAAGAGACCACAGCACTTCATTCGGGATCCCATCTGAGCCGGGAGACTTTCCACATTTCAGGCGCTTCAGATATTTCCGAACTTGAAACATAGTGACAGTGATTGTACGGAGCGGAACAGATATGAAAGGCGACTGGGACAAAGGGGGAATGCGCCACGAAGGATCATTAGGTAGCCCAAATGGGGTGAACTGCGTGTTCAGAACATCAGCTAGGCTCTTGGGGGATGTGGCGACGGTACCGTCGGATGCTATCATCGTTTGGGGCATGACACGACTGGAAGTGTGCCGCTGTGCTCGCACAAACTGAAAGACCGTA